GATTGTCATCATGCAAGCGTTCAGGAGACGGCCACTTTAACATGCAATGCCAAGTACGGACAACTTGTCAAAAGAACGATTGTGATCTATGTGCTCAGCACTTGCGATGACATCAAGTGCGCTTAGCTCTCGTTGTGCAAAGGACAAACAAAATTATATATGTTTGATTTATTCTAGTGGGTTGGAGGCCATCGCTCTTAGGTTGGAGGCCTCTGCTACTAGAAACAAAGAAAAGGGAAAGTTTTTGTATGATTGTATATATATATATATTCGGCATTTCGTGGTGCAAAGTGCACCGGCTCCGTGCATGGCAAATTGTCCTGCAAGCGAGGCTATCTGAGACACCTTTGATATTCTCAGCTCGGATTGTTTGAGCAGAGCCAAGTTGTGCTTTATTTAGCAATTTCATGACGTCAGGAGGCGCATGATACAAGATGATACAAGGAAAAGAGAACCCATAAGCACGAGCAGTGGAAAAGGAACCACGGAAATTGGATTGTGAATGTATGTAAGAAGAGGTCACAAGTCTCGAAACCATGCCTTGGGCTTTGGGGCCACCTTGGGCTTCGGGGTTGTCCTAAGAAGCCAAATGATGTCAACACAAGTGGGCACTGTAAGGACTGTGCAAAGAGAGCTCCAGAATCGACAAGATTTCAAGACTAACTTTCCACGAGCAAAGATTGTAAGACTGTTTCTTTCTCGTTCCTTCGGAAGCGATTCACAAGCAAAATTTGTCGGCTTGGTAGCGGACTGGAGCATGACGGCGACACAGCCCGGCAAGCTCAACGGCCTAAGTCAACTATAGCCGTTCTTGACTTCCGAAACTAATGGAAAAACATGGAAAAACAGCCCAAACCTCAACAAGTTGGAAAATCTCAAAGGCAAAAGCAGCAAAGGTGCGATATGGTCGTTGTCTTTCTCGTCAGTAGCATACCTACAATCCTATAGCACTTGGCAGAAGCGAGGCACAGCGAGGTAAAGGAAAATATTGCGGTATAGCCCGCTGGCATCTAAAGTCGACTCTACCTGCACTAGCTCCAGTCGTGACACTAGGATCCAGCGAAAGTCCAAGCCAGTAGCAAACTGTCCTTTTTCTCTGTTTCTTGTAGCAATGGCCTCCAACCTAAGAGCGATGGCCTCCAACCTACTAGCGATGGCTTCCAACCAGTTGGCATGCTGAAGAACTGCCGCATGTCTTATTTCATCTTAATCTTAATCCCTTTACCTCTCAGCTAGTCGTGTTGAAGTCCGCATGGTGCACGTGCCAGCCGATCACACAGCCCGCATCGGCGAGAAAAGTATGCGGCAATGGTTTGCATTTGTTAAGAACCACTAACTGTGAACTGGGTGTATACGGCCCAAGAGTTGATTGTATGCGGACCAATATCTCCATCCTGTTGATGTGCCATGTGCCCATGGGATCTTGCACAAAGACTTCGCAAGAATCACACCCTGTGACCGGTGTTGGTTTTCGCCGAGTATGCTTCCAAAGAAGTCGGCTTTGTGCCTTCCAATGACAGGCCTGAGATATTTTGGGAGCTGAGCTGAGCTGCCTGCAAACCTCAAAGTCTAGGCTTCATTACTTGGTGGCCGTGCAAATTTCGGCAATCGCTCGGTCATCGTCACATGGAAGGCATTGAGTGTGCTGACAATATGCTTGGAGTGATGCCAGGCTGAAGCAACCAATGAATTAAAAGACCTGCAAATGGGCATCAGGACAGTCCTGCCTGCCTAGTATCCTTGAGGTATGGCCGAGTAAAGTTCCCGGCACCTCGCTACAGTAGAAAAGGGTGAGGAGAGGAGCGCACGCATCACATTGTCTCTTAGCGATCGCGAGCACTTGGCGATGTTGAGCCCGGCACAGGTGATCTTTCATGCCAAGCTATCTGATGAATTTTGAGGCATATGAGTGGTGATCAACTCAACTTTGAACTAGCTAGTTGAATGGGTTGGCACGGCCATTATAGCAATAAAATCCCCTTGCGCTAACTGCGAAGTCCAAAGGTACAACGAGTGCTCATTTTGCCGTCGCAGTGTGATGCGGTTGAAATGCCTCTCAGGAAAATGCAAATGTGAATGCAACCTCCGCGAAAGCGCACACAACCTGACATAACACTGCGGTTCACACCCGCAGCCCAATGCAACTCAGCTGGAAGAAGAAACCACCGGAGATCGGAGATGGTGAAACTTCAAATGACCCATTGCCGCTGCTTTTAGAAAACAAAGTGCATACGATCAACACCACCTCCAATGTAAGTGCACGATGCTGCAAGACACCTATGACGACAGCGCTTCATTGTGAGATGAGATGGTATATTAGTACCGTGATCCTCGTCAGAATTAACATGGTGACCTTTGGCCACCCAGTTGGGAAGAGGACATAATACAAGGAAAGCATCTGGCCTTTCGGAATAGTGGGGCTGCACCCCCTTCCTTCCAGGCCATCACTAGTAGGTTGGAGGCCATTGCTAGTAGGTTGGAGGCCATCGCTAGAACACGTTGGAGGCCATCGCTAGTATAGGTTGGAGGCCATCGCTAGTAGGTTGGAGGCCATCATAGTAGGTTGGAGGCCATGGCTAGTAGGTTGGAGGCCATGGCTAGTAGGTTGGAGGCCATCGCTAGTAGGTTGGAGGTCATCGCTAGTAGGTTAGAGGCCATCACTAGAATAGGTTGGAAGCCACTGCTAGAATAGGTCATCGCTAGAAGGTTGGAGGCCAGCGCTATTAGGTTGGAGGCCATCATAGTAGGTTGGAGGTCACCGCTCGCAGGTTGGAGGCCATCGCCAGTAGGTTAGAGGCCATCGCTAGTAGGTTCGAGGCCATCGCTGTTA